CAACATATCTGGTATTATACTACAGTACTACTAAAATTATTATCCTCCCCGGCGGGGAATCGAACCCCGGTCTCCCGCGTGACAGGCGGGGATACTGACCACTATACTACCGAGGACATATCTTAATCCAAAAAGTGCCATTTTTTTCTGGAAAGTATGAACAAGATATCTGGTACTATTGTCATGTCCCAGGGATGGAATTCTGGACACAGTGGAACATTGTCTGGTGTTGTCGTTGTGGAGTCTCAGTAGTTGGGAATTAAATAATTCAATTGGTTTTACATAACTTTATTCGTTACTTGGTCGATTTAAGATTCATCTAAGACTATGCTCGTCTTAAGTTTTTATGAGACCATGTCACTATACTAAAGTACTACCAAAAGTATTATCCTCCCCGGCGGGGAATCGAACCCCGGTCTCCCGCGTGACAGGCGGGGATACTGACCACTATACTACCGAGGACATATCTATCCAAAAAGTGCCATTTTTTTTCTGGAAAGTATGATCAAGATATCTGGTACAATCCTACAGTAATATTTAAACATTTATCCTCCACTACTAGCATAAATAAAATTATATATAATAAACATTGTATATAATAATATTTTTTATTGAAACAGTCAAAAACGGAAATAAACATTTCAATTCACAACAATAAATATAATAAAACAAAAAGATTAACTGCTGCAAACGGCTATTGAGTTTTGGCTAAAAATGATATATTACGCGTTAACATTGTTATTAATAGTATTTCTAACATGTTTTTCCTCATTTATTTTTCAGTAAGCGACGCATCTGGAAGATACAGCAGCCAATTCTTCTTTGGAAACGACTTCTGGCTAGGTTCAAAACCACTTTGCGAGGAGTTAGCCAACAATGAAACGAATGAGATTGTACCGCCTTTTAAAGTGCGCTTCCACGTAGCAAAAATCCGCATGAATATTAACGAAAAGTTCACACCGATTGTAAGTCAACTTTCATTTTTTAATTTCAAAACGCATATTCGTGTAAATTCTTTTGTGTACTTTCTGAAGATGGTCAATGTTCATTCAAATGTATGATCTACAACAAAGCAGAAACACATTTCAATTAGTTTTAATGTTTTGTTTAATCAAAATTAATGAGAATAGTTTTAATGTAAAAGTTCTGATGACATTACATACATTTATATCTTAGAATCATGAAATTTCCATAGAATATTGAACAAAACAATTATTTTCAACTATTCAACTTATTCTAATATTGTTTTCAGTATCCATTTTTCATTTACTTACTATCAAATGTATTGAATAAATACTTATAATAAACTTTCACATTGAATTGTGCACTTAAACATTTTTAGACCACAAAATTTATTATATTCAACTACGTCTGTCGTTTGTTCAAATTCAATTGTAATTAAACAAAATATTCATAAATACTAAAAAAATATATAAATATTATATAAATGTTATTAGGAAATCAAACATATTGAAAAGTGTATGGTAGTAAATTAAATATATTATATAAGAGATTTCTTTTTATACATAAAAGTTTTGGTATAGAAATTATGGAGGTTTTTGTAAGTTCAGTTCGATGGATTATGAAATACAAAATACTGGTGCTGCGTAGAGAAGTTTTGTTTTTGTTGTATGGATAGTTTATTCATATAAATGTTATTGCATAATGTCAATCATTGATGAATATCAAGGTCTGAACTAGCAATAGCTTCCTAGACAATTATGAAAATGAGTTCAAAACTTTATGTCGCAAACGCCTATTAATTAAGATAATTGCATGCCATTGTCTAGCGCGAATGTTTTATTTATAAACAACACGCACTGAACTCTTGTTGCCTTCTGTTTCAGACCAGGCAGATTCTGGTTGGGCAATGCCTGCCAGATGCGTGCAGTTCCACGGACATCCGCACAATCCTGCTGCAGGAAAGATCTCAAGCAAAATCGTTGATTGTGGTCGACGTGAGACCGGTTCCAGGAGATTACAGCATATTAACCGATAGAAAGTTCCATATCGCGGGGTGAGTTTTTTTTCTGTAGTTGTTGTTGCTGCTGCAACAGGTTAACTCCTTCTTTCTGCATAATGCCGGTAAAGGAAGACGTAACCAGTTCTGCGCGGCACGAAATGTTTATAATTAAATGCGTTGCGCAACGCGACGTGTTTTCCCGCGTCTTTCGTCCAGAGAGGAAGAAAAACAGAAGAAGTTGCGTCAGCTGATCTGGTCTGCTGGTGACACATCCCAGGATTATAACATCCATCAAAACAATTCTAACAAGATAACTATAGTTGTTCAAAAACCTTCGTGTATTCTTTCTTATTCATCGTTTCCCCATCCGCATTTGAAATTGGTTTTGCAAAATTTATTACGAACACAAACCGCGTTCCGATTTTAGAAATTCAGCCGAAATCGAAATGTTCGCCGCATGCAAAACGTTTCGAAATCAGGACCTTATTGGGTACCGGTATTTCTTCATTGACTAATTGCATGGAACTAAAGGCTTCTTGCTTATTAACAATGTTGCACTAGACGGAGCTGTGACCCAGAATGAAAGTCCGCATTATTTGAGCGCGACAGACTGTGCATGTTGTAGTACGGGAGGACATCAATTATAAATGTTGCGCAACGGTGCAATGGCACTTTTTCTTTTCACCTTTGAAGGTTCGTGCAGAGATGACCCGAAGAAGTGCACTGTAATTAATGGGTTTACGTAACCGCTCCACTTTTGGACGGTTAATTGCCGCGAACGCTTACCGCCAAAGCCTAAGGCCGTTTGATTTACGCAGCCCACTTCCGAAGAGAAGGTCGTTATACTTATACCTTCATCCTCCACGGATTCAATTTTGAAATAATGTCATTAAATCTCATCTACTTTAACTGCTCATTCAACTTGTTAATTATAGTTAAAATGTATTATTTTACTGTAAGT